TTGGATCAGCAAATTGGGTCAGCGAATTAGGGAAATTGGGCAGAACGATGTCGTTCCAATTATTGTATATTCAAACGGTAGTTATAGGCGGTTAGGCTTAATTGTTGAATAAATACGCGTGGGACCCATTTGTCCAGTCAACTTATGAATAATAGATTCAGTTGTCTTCACTCTCACTTTCTCTCTCTTCAAATCTCTCTCTCGCCTGTTCCCTCTTTCTATCTCTCTCAATCTTCTTCCCAAATTCTTCCACTACTTATCAATTATACAATTTCTACTCCAGAGCATAACACACTTCACTCTTCTGGGGCGTACTGGCGTGGAAAAATATGTTGTCGCAGCAATGGTAACACGACAATCGTAGAAAGAAATTGTCGTTAATTGGTGAATAAGACGACACCACGAGATATTCTCTTATTTAGCGGGTCCCTAGTATTGTAAATTTGATTAGGTTTGATAAAGTTTTTATCTCATATACATCACAACGCAAAAAATATTATAATAATTATTTTAAATAATACTCTATCCAAACAAACTATTCAAAATTCACCCATAGTATCACGTGTCAGCGAGGGAAGTTGCTACAGTAATTTTGGGTCTTTGCTTATCTTATAGTAAAATATTGCAAAGCATATTTGCTACCCTTCAAAATAGATTATCAAAACTTGATCACTTCTATTTTTTTTTTTGGGAAGAAGGGAAAAAAAAGAAAAGAAAAGAAAATGATGGATTTTGAAAAGTCATAACACTTCTTGAAGATGATTTTTTTTTTTCGAGATGATAACTGTTGTATAACCTATTCTATTCTAAACTACAGGGGAGGGAAAACCTAAAGATGCTTGTGTTAGAGACTAACAGGTTTACAGATCTTATTAGACCAAAGGAGTGTTTTGACATCACCTTTAAATTTTTTTCGTATGTGTAATTTTTTAAACTTCAAGAGAACTCAATAAAATTGTTAGAAACCTTAGGGGAGATTTCTGAAATTATTCCATAATTTATTTATAAAATTGAATGTGTGTGTACTTTTTATTTTAGGAAATTTTGTATTTGAATAATTTTCAATTTTTATGGAGTTTCTTAATACAAATATGGAAAGCGTTTTGAAAGGAATATTTCTACTCCAATTATGCTTTTGACTTTACGTTTATTAATTCAATCCTCTCTACCACCCCCACCTTCTTCTTCCATGAATTCAAGTAGACTCCATTAGCATTTTTAGTTACAAATTTTGCAAGCTCTTTGGTCATTAGTTCATTTAATCCTTAGTTAATTGTACATATTCGCGTACTTGGTTCCATTTGGTCGTTGGCAGAAAGCAACAGTGGATTAGCTCTAGAATATACTATCTTTAATTAATTAACAACAATGATCAGTTAAGAAGGATACATATATCTAACCTACCATGTATATACATATACTAATAATTATTATCCTACTTTGCATTTATATACTTTTTCGATTTAATCTTAACTACCCTCCCTTGTATTTATTTACTTTTTCTAATTAATCTTATATTTTCAAAAAATATAACATCTAAAATATATTTTGACAGACTTTTTTATTAATTTGATATATATTACAAGTAATTACTGCCATGCCATTGCTCCTTTAAGATGGAAAAGGAAACCTTGTCACACGTCATCACTCCACGTAGGTGATGATAAATTGCTAATGAGTATATTGGTGATATATAAATAAATAAATATATAAATATATATGTATATATATATCATTATTCTACTCTCATAGGCTGTGTATACAAGACTATATTAAATAGTTACTCTTATCGATCGTGTATACGAGGCAACTGGAAACGTAAAAGCACTTCTGAAATAACCTTACAATTGAAATAGCATTATTAATCTACGACACCACCTAGTGTAATTGAAACAACCTTACAATTGAAATAATCTTACACTAAATTAGAGTAGGTTATACAAATATTATCGTTACAATAAAAAAAAAAGTAATTGAAACAACCTTACAATCTGGCATACTTGTTCTGAAATTTTATCATTGTTGGTTTAGAATAGCAAAAGTTTTGTCCACGGACGCATATCAACATTGGGCTTTGAACTTTTACTAAAATATCTGGTTTGGAAAAGCTCATATGTCAGACTGGTTAGCAAGATGGATATATAAAAATGCCGGGAAGATGATTGTTGAAGGTTTTCAACAAGATAATGAAATACAACTGCCCATCTTCCCACAAAAAAGAATATTGCAGCAATGACAAATTAGCACAACGTCGATACACACAATCCCTGCTTTCTATAACCATGAGATGCGGGGCGAATTACTCAGATTATGGTCGAGGGAAAAAAAATTCAGACATGTACCGATCTGACAAGGTTGTAGTACAAATCTATGGGTACCGGGCCGTGTCAGCCCGGCACCCAAACTTCATCTAATTTTTTTTTGACTTCTGACAACACAGCCCGGCAGCGAGAAAATTTTTTTTTTTAAAAAGCTGTCGACAAGGTCTGATGGCTGCCAGGGAGAGCGGTTGAACAAAGCTGTCAAATTGTTTTTTTTAAAAAGCTGTCAAATTGTTTTTAAAAAAAAATGCAAAGCGGTTGAACAAAGGCAACTTATTAACAAGATGTCTATTTTGACATCTATATTGGGGATGCATTGAAATAATCGACTTATGCAAAGCGGTCCATCAATTAGTTGTATATAATTAGTTATGCATTTTTTTTTCTTTTTTTGCCTATTTTGTTTTTATATTGCACAACAAATTTTTTTAAAAAATTAAAATTTGCTAACGCTCCACTATCTGAATCGAACAATAGGTTACGTCTACGGTGGAAAGTTCACTTTTTTGCGCATAAGAAGCAGAAGCAATGCAAGAAGGCCAACTCTACTATGTGGAGACGGACGAAGAAGTATATTCGGGTACCAGAGAAAGCGAATTATGCATGGATCAAAATATTATATATTTTAAAATCACAATAAAAGTTCTCTTAAAAATTTATTCATCATCTAATGTCCAATACTTATATTTGATAAATTAAAATAGTTAATTAAATATTCTATTATAATATAAGTAACTATATGACATTGAGTCGAATGAATAATATTTTTTTTCTTTTTTTGGCATTTTAACTAGTTGTCTATTAAGTTTCAATTGAAATAAAGATTTTATAAATATTTAAATTATTCAATAAAATTATCAATTTAAGATGAACATAAATATAAACACATTAAATTGTATTATTGAAATATTTAATTTAATATGAAGGAAAGACAAGATGAAATGGCAAGAAATTTTTTAAAAATTCATATAAGTACTTTATATTAGTAATCACCTTTATTTATTATTATAATTATAATACCTGATCATAACCGATTGAAACTCATATCCGAATACTATTTACAACTAAAGTTACTATATACTCAAATTAAAATTTTCTTTTTTGCACTAAATTTTCTTTTATATTTACGCCTCAATTATTTCAAATATGAAATTCAATTAAAAAATAAAATGTACCACAATATTTGTTTTGACATATACAAAATTCACTAAATAATGTTGAAAATTTCATCCATTTTCCAATACAACAATTTCGCCCTTATTTTTTATCCAAAATTTACGCCGCCTAACGTACTAAATCCGACTATTTTTGGAGTTAATTAAATTATATTTCAAAATTTGAACAATAGAACTAGATGAAAATAGATTTGTTAAATCAATAATTACTTCTATACGATGTTAAACTAAACAAAGGCTGTTTTAAACAAAAAAATCTCATTCATTTTACAATAAGATGCAGGTATCAAATTGTTGAGAAATTATTTGTTAAAATTGTTATATAATTTTTAATAGATTACATAATTTTATAAATATAAATTTGTTGTGCAATATAAAAACAAAATAGGCAAAAAAATGAAAAGAAGAAAAAATGCATAACATGACATTGTCAAATTGTGAATACACCCAATAGCGATAAGCATTATAATAATAAAAGATGAAAATAGCGCTAAATCCCCATATTCAAATATTTGAAATTGTAAAACATGCACTGGAACTGCTACGTACTAACTTTTTTTTTTCGTTCAGTTTTTTTGCTTCACGGGAGCTGCCAGCCAATTTTTTTTTTTTGGTCCACAAGCCTGCCGACCACTTTGCATTTTTTTTTAAAACAATTTGACTGAGCCCGGCAGCCATCAGACCTTGTCGGCTACCGGGCATTGTCAGCCCGGTAGCCGATAGCTTTTTTTAAAATTAAAAATTTCTTGTTGTCGGGCTGACATAGCCCGACAGCGGTGTCAGAAGTAAAAAAAAAATTTGGATGAAGTTTGGGTGCCGGGCTGACACGGCCCGATACCCATAGATTTGTACCACGACCTTGTCAAATCGGTATATGTTCGAACTTTTTTTTTCTCGACCATAATCTGAGTAATTAGCCGAGATGCGGACACTAAAAACCCCAACCCACATCCCCAACCCACATCGAAGTGAATCATGAAAGTTATGTTAGGTTGAAAGGTATGAAGACTTGTCGTTTACTAAACAATTATCTTCCCCTCATACCAAGGGACAGAAAGCTCCCATTCTGCCAGCTGTTCTTTACTTCAAAATTGAGGGCTGTAAATAAGGTTGCAACAGTTTATCAATTTAAGAAATTAATACTAAAACATCCATGACAGACAAGCTAGCCTGAAGCCCACAAAATCCCATTAGAAAACACCAAGTTATCCTTGGTTTGTTCTAATAATTAAAGGAAGACGACTATATAATCAAAATGTATCATCGTTTACTGAACCCTGGATCATGAAGCCCAAGAGGTTCACCCAATAACAATGCCAAGTTTTTTCCTCCTGAAGTTTACGAGAGACGCGTTCACATTAAACGGCAACAGCCCCCTGCTTTTTTCATCAGGTTATACTGCCGACATGTCCAATCAAAAACTTTAAATAGCGAAAAAAACATACATATAGAGCAGGAAAAGAACTAAATGGCCATCAAAAAAGTAGATCAAAGCAATCGATACCTTGAAATGAACACGGAGATCAGATCCCCTAGCTTTGCAGGCTGCATTTTAAAAAATTTTAACAAAATTAGCGCACAAGCCTAAAAATTCGATGATAAAATTTTTGAAACAAATCCAAGAATGAAAAAAACAAAATCAAAATCTAGTCTAAAACCAAAAAAAAAAAAAAAAAAAGGAGGAAAAGAGCAATTACACTTGGTAGGGTTATCGGGCTCCCTTTAGTACTTCACCTGAAAAAGCACCCCCAAAATACCAAAAAGTTGTTGTAATTAGAGGATTTTGACATGAAAAGTCAAAACCAAATATGCTATTAAAAAATTAAACAATAATTAATTAATTTTGAATTTCTGCTACACATGCTTTTTAAAAAAGTAACCCTAATCTAATATCCAAATCCAAGTTAAACAATAAACAAGTTCCAAATGTTTAAAGATTATTCGTAAACCCCTACACTTTTTGAACAACCAAACAACAAAATTAGGTCTCTACCACCGTACCCCCACATCTAGGACCACTACCACATCACTTTCAATAACCCCGCCACCAAAATATTGCTACCCATCCAACTACTGAATATGCTAGTTATTTCACATTTAAAGGTTCCAACAAATTAAAGTTACATACCATAAGCGAGAACCGGATCAAAGTATTCATTTTGCGGCCTAATTGCCACTCCATTGTTGCTTCAATGTCGATGATACCCAGCTATTGTTGAACCCGACAGTGCTAATTGTCTCTTGCTCTTCTCCCTCGACAAAGATCCTCAAGCGAAGATGAAGAGGGGTAAGGAAAAGGGGTGTGGTTCGACTTGTTTGGTTGGGTTAGGGAAAGGGAAGAAGATGGAGTTGTTCACTTTTTGCTTGGAAAATACGAACAAAAATGCCCTTCTTTAAAGCATATTGCCATTCGTGTGATTTGGCTTTCCGGTTGCAAAACCGGATAACTAGCCAAAAGGGCCACGGGTTCCAATTTTACAAGTTCGAGGGCTAAAAGTTGACTACAAATAGTTAGATGGCTTAATTTTACCTAAACTAAAAGTTCAAGGGCCAAATGGATAATTTGTCCCATTTAATTATATTTGGCCCTAAACCAATTCCAACTCCGTTCGTTTTCGGAATATGATCCTGGTGATTAGAACGTCAAGATATGAATAGAGAGGGGAGAATGAGTTCAACCATTAACTGATACAAAGTAGGAACCTTTTTAGGAGAGGCTAGAAATTTTGATTCCTATTCACTATTTGGTGTAATTGAGAATGAATAATTTCTCACTAAAAGTGTTAATTTTGATGACAAAGAAATTATGGATTCAATTCTGGGGTGGCTAAATTTGTTGGAAATTGTGCAATTGAAAATTTTATTGGAAATACTGTCAAATGGAAAAATATATTTCTTGGTTTTTTGAGAATTACTTGAATCCAGATGATTATCATGTCAAGACTGTGATGGCTCTAATGGCATGTGTGGGTGAATATGGATGAATTCTTCGATCAAGCAAAATAAGTAGTCATATCATATACACATATATAAGTCTAATCCCTTCCTATGCTCGAAGATGAAGATTGGTAATAATTATAATTTAGAGTGGGACATTTTCTACACTGCAACAAAGTGTTCGATTAGTTTTTGAGTTTAGTTTACTAAAGATAATTTTAGCACTACTATACTAAGCCAATTAGGGTTTTATTTATTAAAAGCTATTTTACTTGCGGGTGCAATCAAGTCCAATGAACTCGAGTAGTGCATTAAGTTAAAAACTTGGATTCAAGTTTGAGGTCGGACACGTTGAACTCTTGAAAACTCGAGCTCGACTTTGTTTTGCATTATTCGAACTTGAACTCAAACTCGTACTCATCAATCCTAATTGAGTTTAATCAAGTTTAAGAAATATAAATTTATATTTTATATAATTTTAAATTAAGGGATAAAATAGACATTTTTTACTAATATAAAAAAAATTAATATGCATGTGTGTGTATGAAATTGGATTGAATTTGATTAAACTCGTCAGGTAGCTCGAACTGTTCAAACTTGAGTTCGAACTCGGTTAATGCAAAGTTTGAGCTTGAACTTTGTAGAGGAAACTCATAAGCTACTTAATTAAGGTGGACACCTGTAGTTTTTACTTAAATTGGGCGTCTATGTTCAATCTGTGTTTGGTTAGATTCTTGAGTTGCATAGGAATTGGGTTCATAGTTAGCATTGCCTTACTGTAACATGTGTTGGTAGCATGAAGTCAAGAAGTCAGATTTGTTTTGGCTTTTTTATAGGCCTTGTGCGAACCAATCATAAAGTTGGTCGTTGCACAAAGTTTAATTTTGCTCCTTCTCTGTTCCAGTAAGTTGTGCCAACTCTGCTTTGGGTAATGTTACTTTTGAACAGACTTGTGGCTCTAATTGAGTACCTCCTTGTTTGTTCGTCAAATTTAAAGTTTTGAGATGTTATATTTAATTCCGTTGCGCACCTATCTTCTTTGCCAACGAGGGAGCCAATTCCCCCCCCCCCCTCCCACCTCTCTCTGCAGTCTTCAATATTTCCATGTCAATTCTTCCACAGGTCACAATCGCGATATTTGGACTTTTGTTATTTAGCAAAAAAAAGTTATTGTGAATTTTCTTTTATTTCACAATATAGAATTCACCAAAAGAAATTTCAAGAAAGAAAAGAAAAACCAACATGATTGTGACTTTTGTTTTATTTCACAATAGAAATCACCAAGAGCAATATTGTCTCTTTAAAGTTTCCTTGGGTCAAATATACTCTGTCCCAACTCCCAAGCTCTCACCTAAATTGAGCTAAGTGATCAAAAGGGCATGATACAATTGAGTTTAACCTTTGATTGATACAGTAGGAACATATTTCAATTTTGCCTTAAATCATGCTCGCTAATAGAGATTGACCGGCAAACGTGGTTCTGGGATCATAGCAAGTGGAATCCTTGGATGAGTTGTGAGTCCGTAGTGTTCTTCCATGCAAATTTCCTCTGGTTTCATGCCCTGAGGCAATTTCCAGTTGAATCCATGCAACAAGTTGGCCAACATTGATCGAATAAGTTTGATTCCAAGGTTATAGCCTGGGCACATCCTCCGACCTGAGCCAAAGGGCAGTAGCACAAAGTTTTGTCCCTTCATGTCAATATCCTTCTCCAAAAACCTCTCTGGAATGAATTCTTCTGGAGAATCCCAATACTTTGAGTTCCTCCCTATACTCCATGTGTTTATAAACACCGTTGTTCCTTTAGCAATGTTATAACCAGCTACAGTGCAATCCTCGAGGGCATAACGGGGCGAAAGTAGCGTTGCCAGTGGATGTAACCTGAGAGTTTCCTTTATGATCGCCTCTAGAAAAGGCAGTTTTGAGAAATCAGCCTCTTCCACCCACTTATCTCTCCCTATCACTCTGTCAAGCTCTTCGGTTGCCTTTCGAATGAGACGTGGATGTTTGAGAAGTTCATTCAATGCCCATTCTACTGTAAGGGCTGAGGTATCGGTACCACCAACCAGCAAGTCCTGGCCATGATCAAATAATGGTAAAGTTAGATGTTAGTCCTGCCATGATTAAATATTGGTGAAGTATCAAGCTTTACAACAGATTGGAAGGAAAAAAACTGTTGGATCCTAGATCCAATGCTAGACTTATATATGAATAATTATGTATTGCAAATTGTAAAATCAGATTAAATCCAATTAAGTAATCAATTATAATTTGGATTTTAATGTATTTCATAAGATATTGGCTTTTATACATTATTGACTTTTAATGTATAGAGACTTATGGATAATTTCTATTTTTATGATGGATTAAAATAGAAATACCAAAAGATAATAGAAAAGTTATTTATATTATAGTTATAATCCCCAGATCACATGCATTTTTATGTCGTATACTTTGGTATTGCAAAATAGTTCTTATATCCTAGATACCAGAGAGAAATTGAAGAACTCTCTTTAAGAATAAACGAATAAATGTTGATTTGAAAGGCCAGCCTAAGATTTAAAGGATTCAAATAGCAATGAATCAATATGAATCTAGTTAATGGTTTTTTTTTCAGAGATTAGTTTTATAAATGGTACGCATTTATATCATAGTTGTATTCAAAAATCTCCTATTGGAATCTTGGAAAATTCAACAAAGCCCTCTTAATCAGAAGGATGAAAGAAGACAATTATCTTTTTTTTTTGGAGGGTGAAGACAGTTATCTTTAATAGCGCGTTATGTCTAGGGGTGGCAATGAGGCGAGGTGGGGCGGGGGACACCTCCCCCAACCCCGCCCCATTGCATTTTAATTCCCCCCGCCCCGCCCGCTTCCCCCGCGGGGTTAAAAAAATTTTATTATATAATTTTGTTATAATTAAATTTGAGCAAATAATCAAATACTAAAATATCAACACATCACCAAATTATTATTCATTGTAACTTCACAATTGAAACTCATAAAAATAAATAAACAAAGGTTATTTAAATACAATCTAATATAATAAAACAAATATAACTAAAATAATCAAGTTTTCACTTTTGATACAAATACAATCACTAAATTATTATTGAGTTTTTTTTAGAAAAAAGTGTTATTGTATTAAGTGTAGTTAGGAATTTAATATAAATGTATTAATAAATTTAGTATAAATAATTAATAATTTTTATTAATAGACATGTATAATTAGTAGTATAATTGATAATATCATTATATATATAATTATGTACATTTCAAACGGGTGGCGGAGTGGGAGTGGGGCGAGGGAGTATACCCCCGCCCCGTTTCTAAACGAGGGGAAAAAATCCCCCCGCCCCCGCCCCAATGAACCCTCGCAGGGCGGGTACCCGCCCCGTTGCCATCCCTAGTTATGTCGGCAACACATTGGTAAAGTTAGTCCTGAACATGACATATTGGTAAAGTTAGTGCCTCTATGATCAAATATTGTTGATACTTTACTACAAATTGTAATACTATTAATCTAGAAAGGAAATAAAAAACTCTTAATTAGAAGAAAGGAGACTGTTATCTTTCATGGCACATTATAGTAAGCAAGACTGCTGGCTTTCAGATTCAGTAACTTAAAGAGGTAAAGAGTCAGAGACCTAGGAATTTGATTAAACAATGAGAAGAAATAGCACCTGAATTAGCCCTTTTATCTGATCTCTGGTGAGTTTAACCTGGAGATCTGGATCTTCAGCGTATTGCAATAGAATGTCAACCATGTCCTTAGGGATAAAATCCTTCTCCGTTTTCCTTTTGGCCTGGTGATCATCAAGCACATG